GCGGATGTAACCTGGTCTATCCCATGAGGAGTAGACAGGGGATGTTTGCCTTAGTCTAGCGATCAGCAAACTTTTTCCATAAAAAAGAAAAAAAAAAAACAAAAACCCACCAAAAACCAAACCCACTGCCGTTGAGCCAGACCCGACTCATGGTGACCCTTCCTTGGGTTTCCGAGGTGGTATCACTACAGAAGTAGATTGCCCAACCTTTCTTCTGAGGAGTGGCTGGTGGGTTTGAACCGCCAACCTTCTGGTTAGCAGTCAAATGCCTTAGGCACTATGCTACCAGAGCTTCTTTTCCATAAAAGGCCAGATAATATTTTCAGGTTTGAGGTATCTGTTACAATGGCTCATCTCTGCTGTTGTAGTTAATACAACAACAAATGATAACACAAACAAGTGGGCATGGCTGTGCTCCAATTAAACTCTTTATAGAAACAGACAGTGAGATGAATTTGGCCCACAGGGCCATAGTGTGCCAAACTCTGCCACAAAACTTGAGGTTATTTGGAAGTGCTTCAGAGGGTCTGAAAATGTATGGCTTTACTTTATATTGTTTTTTGGCATTTAGGAAACTGTAATAAAAATGTGTCCACTCAAATGTATCACTACATTTTAACATGCAGGAGATCAATGTGTTAACTGATGCTGTCAGGTTACCTTCTTTGGAGAAGACTTCAGAATGAAGTTTCTCTTGCCACCTCATACATATGTCTAGGCAGTATGGCATACTGGTTAAAAGTCTGGCTCTGGGCATCAAATAGATGTGAGTTTGAATCTCAGCACTGCCACTTGCCAGCTTTATGACTTTGGGAAAATTACCTCCCTCAACTGGGATGCCCAGGGCAACTCCAAACAAGTGGACACTGGCCACAGTGCTAGGACAGGATCCGGAAGGCCCCATTTTCCTGTTCATGGGAAAATGGAAGGTTCACAGTGGAAGGACCAGGGCAGCTGAGGCCATGGATGGGCACTCAGTGGGGCTCCAGGTAGCAGTATTTACTAACTGTTCTGGAATACTTCAGTAGTTTAACTGACACAGACCAGTTGAATATCAGCCCTATTACTCATTATTATTGGCAAAGAAATTGAAGTTTTCAAGAATTTCATTCTTCTTGAATCAATAGTCAATGCCCATAAAAGCAGCAGTCAATGCAACAACCTATTGCATTGGGCAAATCTGCTGCAAAAAGATCTCTTTGGAGTGTTAAAAAGCAAAAATGTCCCTTTGATGACTAAGGTGCACCTGACCTAAGCCAAGGTATTCTCAGTTGCATCATAATGCATGCAAAGGTGGACAATGCATAAGGAAGAACAAAGAATTGACACTTTCAAATTGTGGTGTTGGCAAAATATCGAACAAATCTGCCTTGGAGGAAGTCCAGCCAGAATGCTCCTTAGGAACGAGGATGGCCAGCCTTCGGCTCACGTGCTTTGGATACATCACAGGAGGAACCAGTTGCTGGGGAAGGACATCATGCTTACTTGGTAAAGTAGAAGGCTAGTGAAAAAGGAGGAGCCCCTCAATGAGATAAATTTGCAGAGTGCCTGCAACAGCGGGCTCAGACATTGTGAGGATGGCGCAGGGCCAGGCAACATTTAGTTTTGTTATGCGTAAGTTGACTATGAGTCAGAGCCAACTCAAGGGCACCTAAAAACAACTCATTATCATGCCAGATCCATCTTGGACTTGAACTTTCAGCTTCTTCTGGCTTATTCCTCTACACACCTACCACTCTGACTGGGCTCTTGGAAGGGGAGGGGGCTATTTTGCAATGATCCAGCATTCTGAATGCTTAGTAACAGGACTTTTGTTTCTCTGCTAAGTGGCAGTCTCCACTGGGTCTGGGACTTTGCTAGTATTCACCAGGTCCCAGTGTTCTGCAGGACCTGTTGGGGAAGCAGTGCTTTCGGCTAAAGGGGATCCAGTATTTCAGGAGCTGTTGGCTGCTCTGCCCATGTGCTGCAGTCCACAGTTGGGCCTGGAGCTTCAGTGCTCACCTGGTTTTTAAATTGCCTGGTGATACAATAAGCAATGCTTATCACCTCAGGGCTCTTCTCACCACTTGAAACAATCAGAAGGTTTGTCTGGCTGCTGCCTAAGGCTACCTCCAGGCCTTCTATTCCAGGCACTGAAAGCTTTTCTCTAAGCCTGAGATGCTCATTTATGGTTTCAGTAATACAATTTGCTTTAATATTGCTCCATTGCCCAGGGTTATCCATGTCTATTAATGGCACTCCAGTGAAATCCAGGCTTTTACTGCACCTTATCTCACTGCTCCCAGCATCCTATTTTCTTGCTTCCTGAGTGTTCATCACTGGTGCCCTGAGGATGAGACCATGTGGGTCCCAGGGTCCCTGAAGTTTATCTTAATTAGGTGGCATCTGGTGCTGCCCTTACAAGACTAGTGTGCAACCTGTCATGCAGCCTAATCCCATCCAATGAGCTTTGGCTGTGCCCAGCCTTGTAGGTTCTTATGGCCACCAACTCTGTGAGCCCTGGAGGATCATGCAAGGGATGATTCTGACCTTGGTGGGGTTCAGCCAAGATAAAAAGTGACTCTGGGGCTAAGCTCCCTCTCTTATTTCCTTTTCATTCTCTTGAGGCTGTTCGTAGGTCTCACTGTATCTCTGTCTGGGTGTGGAGCACTGGCAACAGAGCAGGCTGGAAACTAGGCCCTCTGTCCTGAGGCCTCTTCTGTTGGCCTGGCTGTAAGATGGAAACAACCTTGTCCAAACACTTCTTTATCATGTGCCCTTCTGGGTGCAGTACCACTGGATATACCCCGATAAAGCAGTCAATGCAGGTGTCTGCCTCAGCCACTCAACACAGCCTTCCCTTCCTCCAACACTGGTATTGAAAGCCCAGCTCAGCACTTCTTTTCTGGCCCAACTGTTGTTCATTTTCGAAAACTACTTCTGTCTTCCATTTATTTCTTCTTCTTGGATTATCTTTCTGCAATTACTGTCCTGCCCCACGTTGCTCAGAACCTGCACCCGTTCAGACCCTGCGCTGAGTCCTCAAAGGGACAGAGGTCAGGTTCTAGGTCGTCCATCCCTGCCCCTGTCTCTGCCCCAACAAGTGCTCCACCACTCCTCCAGGCTCCTTCACCAAGTGTTTGCTCACAGCTAAGATCCCACGCTGGAGCTGAACAATCAATCCGCACACAGACATCTGCTCGCCCTTTTTAGTCTTCCTGAGGGTCCAGCCACTGGGCCTCCTGCCTCCCTCCAGGGAAAGCCAGGGTTGGTCAACAAAGGAGGAAGCTGATTCATCAAGTAGTATAAGTTTTCCCCACAAGTGGGGAAGAGGTGCTGCTGAGGCTGCAGGGGCTCTGCAAGGGTGAAGACTCCTAGTGTATCTCTCAGGGAAGGTCGCCTCATCCTGCAGTCCCTTCCGCAGCAGCCCAGTGACAGAGAGCTCATTTCTTCCAGGGGCAGCTCTGCCTGGCCTTCCTCTCACAGATCCAAAGCTGGAGAATTTTGATGGTGCACACTTCAGCTCCTTTTTGTCTAACTGGTCACTACCTCTGTATCTTTTGTTTCAGACAAGTCCTCACATGTCAGCACTGACTAGGTGACTTTGCACTTCCCCCATGCAGCCCTTTACCCACTGGCTTAGACTGGACAATCTCCCACTTGAGCCACTGAACTTTCTCCTCCTGCATTTGAGGCCACAACAGTAGATATGAATACTTGCCTCTTCTTTCCCCACTGGCAGAGCTGCTTAGCAGAACAGGACAAAACAGCACAGCAGAACGCAATCACTGGGGGTAGGGGTTGACATGGAGTCCTGGGTGGTGCAAACGGGTAATATGATGGGTTCTAATCAAAAAGTTGGCAGTTGGAGTCCACCTAGAGGTGCCTTGGAAGAAAGTCCTAGCCATTGAAAACCTACAGAGCATAGTTCTACTCTGATACACTTGGGGTTGCCATGATTTGGAATCCACTCTGTGGCAACTGGTAGGGACTCACATAAGGGATTTAGAAGGCAGGAACAACTGAGCTTTGGCTCAAAAGAAAAGCAAAGCAAGCACTGAGTGACCAGCTTCTAAAACTCCTCCCCAGGAAGACTCTGCAGTGCCCTCTGCTGGCTGGAGGAGTATTTGCATGCAGGTTAAAGTCACTCCCTTCATGCCTTTCCACAAACTCTCCACCAGGCAGCTGACCACTAATGACCCGGATTAGCTAATCATAAGAGGTCACAAGTACAGGAAGTGCATCATTTTGTCCAGTGGTTTCCAAGTGTTGAAATGTATAGATAGCTACTGTGGACGACTGTGCATTTTGCCCATTTGACAAATGCCTCTGGGCTGAAATCTAGCCAACATCCTGCTGACCAAGTTGTATATCCCAGAATGGGTCTGCATCAACCAGAAGAGTCATCTTTTCATAATTGATTTGCCTAGAAAGAGCATCCTTTTGTAATGTGCACAAAGCGCCATAAATACCAGCTGCAGCCCTGGCATAGAATACTTCCTTCCAAGAGGGCAATCTGATAATATCAAACTGCTTTGGTTAAAGCAGAGTTTGAAAAACACCTAAAAGATGAGGAAACTGAGGCTCACGTAGGGGAGGAACTTACTCAAAGTCATGCAGTTAAAGTCAGGACCGAACTTATAAGCCAGATCCTCAATCTCAGAGCAGTGTTCTCTGCACTGCACTGAGCTAGTTTTCACTCTAAGCATCACTTTTGCAGGCACCCCAACTTCTATGCCACCCCATCCCAATTCCATCAACTCCCTATTGGAACCCAACTACTCTGCATAGACTTACTTTCCCAGCCAGGATCATGGCACAGTGCTTACCCAAAAGAAGGGAAGGTGAGAATTCCAGCCCAGTCTGAATCCTTTCCTACATGTGCCTCACTTGCCGGGATGAGGACAAACATGCAGAAGGGCAGGGTGGTAAGGAACTAGTGGGGCCCTCTAAATGGGATGCTGAAGTGTGACAAGGAGCCACCTCTGGGGCGAGGTGGCTCGGCAAAGCTGGCTGCTCAGCTACTGGGCAGATGGGGCCTGCTTTGCTGCCGCAGTCCGCCGGGGTGTCTGTGCCACACCATAAGGCACGTGGGCAGCCACTGTGCCCATTTCCTGAGCTCCAGCCACGTGGAACATCTGGTCATCAAAGAAGATGTGTGGGCGGATCTTCTCAAGGAGGGGGCCCTTGGGTGCTCCAGCCAGGAACAGGGCCTCATCTGTCTCCAGACCCCAGCTGCGCAGGGTCTTGAGAGCTCGGGCACCTGAGCTGGCTGCACTGCGTGCTGTCACCAAATAGGTGCGGATCGGGCACTCCAGCCGTAGGCCCTTGGAGTAGAACTTCTTCTGCAGCCTACCCAGCGCCTCCAGAAAGCCCTTTAGGGGGCCCTATGAGAAAGCAAAGGAATCTGTGAGCTCATCCCTCTCCCAAACACTTGCCCCTCCTCCTGCCGGGTTCCCTCCCTTAAGTGCTAAGGTCTTGCAGTTTGGGGTGGGAAAGATTCTTGGACTCCCTAAATCTTTCAGTTCTGCTATGGCTGGAGGTCCGGTGGTGGGATTCTCACCCCTCATGTGGGAGACTCAGGTTCCATTTCTGGCCGTGCACCTGACGCACTGCCACTGCCCACCTGTCAGTGGAGGCTCGTGTGTTCTGTGATGCTGAACAGGTTTCAGCAGAGCTTCCAGACTAAGATTAGGAGGAAAGGCCTGGTGATCTATTTCCGAAAACCCTGTGGATCACAACAATCGCATCTACAGCTGATCATGGGCATGTGTCCTTCTGTTGTGCATGGAGTCACCATGAGTTGGGGGTCAACTTGACAGCAATTAACAGCAATGACAACCTGCCTGCTGGGGCCATTGTATGCATCTATGGGACTGTAGGCATCTATGTAAGTCTGAGTGTCTGTATTATTATGATTGAGGCTGTCTGTGTTAGAATAACTACAAGGGCAACTGTAACTATGTAGGTCCATTCATGTGCCCATCAGGCACGTGGGTGTCTTCCCTATAGCTCTATAAGTGTGGCCATCTGTGTCCATCAGCAGGGAGGATATTAAAAATATTTAGCAACCATGACATGGGCACCCTCCAATCAGAACACACTCTAGCTGTGAGCAATTGGGACAGATGGACCAATGCATAACAGCAGAATATCAGCCCTGTCCATCAGGCACACGGCGTCTCAGGGTGTCATGCTCAAGAGTGTTTATTCTCACAATGCTTAGAATAATGAAGCTTAACAAGGAATAAAGAACCCGATGATGATGAAGAAAACTGCAACAGTAGCTGGAAATAAGGAAAGATATGTCTCTAATCTTGGAGAACCCTCACTTGCTGAGTGACCTGAAGCAAGCTGTGATCTCCTGGGCTTTTGCTGCCCACTGCTTAGTGAGAAAACTATCCTGCCCTGGGTTCCCAAGGATTTCAGAGGGAACCAATGAGAATGGAAGTGAAATGAACACTCCAGAGGCACACTGAAGCCCTGGGATCTGCTGAGCTATTGGCAGAGAGGGGGTCTGGGATTGCTGAGCACCCAGAGTTTTGTTCAAAGCACACAGGAGGGCTGGAGAATCCCAACAGCTCCAATCCCAGGGAGTTTCTACCAAGCTCTAGGGCATATTCTGCTTTCAGGGAGACACTGAACAGGTTGAGGGTGAGCGAGAGTCCCTGACCTGGCCAAGGGATGGATGGCAGGAGGTGATGAGGGCTGGTGAGAGTCTTCCAGACCCCACAGCCAGCTGAGTCTCCCTGCCCCAGTGAGGGGTGCCATTCCAGCTCTTCCTTTCCTTCAGTGAGAACAGGGAGCTTGAGGGGATGGGGGCTAACTCAGAGGAGTAGGGGGATCTCAGAGAGGGAGTATGGGTATCAAAGAGGTGATGAGGACTCCAGGAGAGGATGGGGCATCCAGGAGGGGATGGGGAGCTCAGGAAGATGGAGACCTCAGTGAGGTGACAGAGGCTTAGGAGAAGGAATGGGAACCTCCAAAGAGGATTAGAGGTGCAAAGAGGTGGTAGGGGCTTCAGAGAGGGCTTCAGCGAAGGGGATGAGGGCTTCAGGGAGGGAATAGAGACCTCAGAAAGGGGATGGGGCTTCAGAGAAGTGATGGGAACATCAGAAAGGGAACTGGAGCTGCAAAGAAAGGGTAGAGGCTTCAGAGAGGGGCTTAGACAGAGAATGGGGGGCTTTAAGGGGAGTGGAGCTTCAGTGAGGGGGAGATGAAGCTCATTGAGAGTTAGGGGCCAAGCAAGAGGGGTGAGGGTTAGAGGTTTAGTGAGGAGACCTGGCTGGATTCTGGGCTGAGCTGAATGTTTGGTTCTGGATTGGGGCTCAATCTAAGGGCAAGTTCTGGGGAGATATCTTGCTCTACTTGGGGGTTCCAGGGACTGTGTGGAGCACCTGGGCCAAAGGTTTGTTCTCATGGGCCTTCTCATGCTCGAAGAATCTGTCCAGCCCATGGGCCTTGACGATGCGCTCCGACTCATCCGAGAAGAGTACGGCGTCCCCATCAAAGGCCACACGCAGCTGGCTCTGGGACACCGCTATGTCTCTGCTGGGGCTGAAGATTGTGGCAGCTGCAATCCCTGGGCAGAGAGATGCAAGTGTTGGCTGGTTCCTGGCTGGGCAGTGGGGGGCCTCCTGAAAGCTCCCTTAGCTGCCCAGAGTCAGGAGAGGGCTATCTCAGGCTATCCTTGTCCCACCTGCTTCATCCAAGACTTAGGAGAAGGCTGATACTATGGACTAAATGATGTCCTCCCATAAACGTGTGTTGAAAATCTGACCTCTATACCTGTAAATATGACCCTATTTGGAAATGAGTTTTCTTCTGTAATATTAATGAGGTCATATCAGAGTAGGGTGGGACTTAAACCTAATTACATTTGAATTATAAAAGGAACAGAATAGAGACACATGCAAGGGGACGACAGACACCTGCAGATGCATCTGTGAGCCAGGACCTCCAGGATGTCCAGCTACTAGAAGCTGAAATAAACAATGAATTGAGCCACACCTTGAATTCAGACTTCTAGTCTCCTGAACTGTGAGAAAATAAATTTCTGCTCTTTAAGGTCACCCACTTGTGGTGTTTCTGTTACAGTGGCAGTAGGTAACTTAGATAGCTAATGAAGGCTAATACTCAAAATATTAAAAAAAAAAAAAAAATGGGAAGGCATGGACACTGACCAACAAGAATGGACACTGACTATCACTCTGTAGCAAGGATGCCTTTTGGGTATCCAGGCTCTAGACTAGAGCTGCACTGGACAACATAGAACAAGTTTTAGGAGCCTGGTGACCTGGGCAGCTGGCTCAGTCTATTCCCTAATCTTTCTGTCTCCAAACTCCACTTTCAGCCTGCTCTTTGGGAATCCAGGATCACAGGAGCTGGGCTGAGGCACAGGTTTTGGGGAAACAGGCAGTGTCAGCCTCCCAGGTCTTTATAGCAAGATGCTGTGAGCAGGAACAAGGCCTGGACATCAAGCCAGACACCTGCTCAGCTCTGCCAGTGCTGGGACCAAGATAACCAGAACTACTTCACTCTGAGCAGGGTCCCCTCCTGATCACTCTGCTGCTCCGTAGCCTGAGGTCAAATTATAGACACCCAGAGGCAAACATACACACTAGTGCCAAGGCCCCAACCAGAAGGTGTGCTATCTGGCCAGGAAAATACCTTCTGGTTTCTAGTTAAAGAAAGCCTCTTGGAGTTCCCAAGCAGCTCAGGGGCATGAGGCAATAGGGGGTGAGAGACCAGGCTTCTAGGCAGGAGACAGCATGGAAGAGGAACAGAAAAAGAAAAATTTTTGTTGGTTAATAAAGAAACCAACCACTAGTGTTCAGCCTAAGGAGCCCTCTCAGATAGCTGGGCAGTCCTTCCTCCTCTGTGGCCTGTTTTCTTCCAAGTGTAGTAAGGACATGCACACTGTTGAGAAGACTGAGACTACATTCTCATCTAAAACTGCCCTATAAAAGAGACACATAGTGGAGGAGGGGGTAATTGTTTTTGTCAGTACTTGACATCTCACACCAGCACTGGCCAGCTCAGCTGCTAGAGATGCTAGTCATTTCCCAGGCCCGTCACTCAGGCTGCAGTGGATACAGACTTCCCTCCTTATTGGCCCAGAGAGGGGCAGAGGCTGCCCAGGGTCACACAGGAATTAGCTCACCTGGGCAGTAAGAAGGGTTTCCATGGAAACAGGAGGCTGGGAGATGCTGATGAGTTAAAGCCTCCTTAACATGGTACGGCAGGGGATATGATAGTGAGATACCCATAACCAAACCCACTGCTGTCAAGTCAATTCCGAGTCATAGTGACCCTGTAGGATAAGAGTAGAACTGCCCCTTAAGGGTTTCCAAGGCTCTAAAGCTTTACCGAAGCAGACTGCTACATCTTTCACCCACAAAGAGGCTGGTAAATTCAAACCACTGACCTCTCAGTTAGCAGCCGAGTGATTTAACTAAACTGTGCCACTAGGGCCCTTATGAAAGTGGGATATAAAAACCAAAACTGCCATTGAGTTGGATCTGACACATAGTGACCCCTCCTTGGGTTTCCGAGGCGGTATCACTATGGAAGTGGATTGCCCAACCTTCCTTCCGAGGAGCGACTAGTGGGTTTGAACCACCAACCTTCTGGTTAGCAGTCAAATGCCTTAGGCACTATGCCACAGAGCTCCCTGAAAGTGGGATGTTGTTGTTGTTGTTGTTTGCCATCGAGTCAGCCCCGACTCATAGCGACCCCTCCTTGGGTTTCCGAGGCAGTATCACTACGGAAGTAGGATTGCCCAACTTTTCTTCCGAGGAGTGGCGTTTGCAGGACAAGTCCCAGGAATTAGAAAGCACTGAACATCCACCCCTTCCAGTTACCATAACAACCCCCCAGCACCTGTTCACAGCTCTAGGACCAGCTCTCCTACCTCTGGAACCTCTCTGTCAGATTCCCCACGTTTTCCCTCCCTAGTCTGACTTACCTTCATCAATGGCTTCCCGCACTTTTTCTGCATCAGCTGACAAGTAGAGGTTGGTGTGATAGGCCTTGAGATAGCAGATGGGGCTGTTCCCGCCTGTCATGCAGAACCTTTCAATGAACAGGTCTGGAGAGGAGAAAGTACTCAAGTGAGGCCAAGATTCACCCTAAGGGCTTCAGAGTGGCCCCATCTTGGTTCTCAGTGGTGGTGACTGTGCCATGGCAGAGTGATTAGCTGTTTAATTTTAGGCCAACAGTCCTCCTCGCTGAGCCCCTCCATCCTTCATCCATGAAATTACCCCTCTGGAGCAATTGCCTGGCTCATAGTGATAATATCCTCTTGTGAGAGAATCATAGTACTGCAAGAGGTAGGAAGCCTTGCCTACTGGTCATAGGTGATTGGATAAGGGGCAAACACCTGACCTAAGCCAGGCCAATCAGATTCTTTTTCCTAGCCTGGGCTGATAGTCTGCTAAAACCCAGCAGCATGGAGATTCTGGGTGGCACAAACAGTTAAGAGATTGTCTTTTAACCAAAAGATCTGAGTCCACCAAGAGGCACCTTAGAAGAAAGGCCCAGTAATCTACTTCCAAAAACTCAGCATTGAAAACCCTGTGGTGCACAGTTCTACTCTGACAGGTAGGGGGTCACTGTGAGTTGGAATCAACTCCACGGTAACAGGCTTGGTTTGACCCATAAGCATAGCTGCTGGGGATGTTAAAATATTGCTGGTTGGTAAAAGGCTATTGTTCTGAGCCCACTGAGTAACTCTATCACTACCTCAGCTCTTCCTCCGGGACCCTTGTCCATTCTGGAAAGGATAATGCCTGGTGTAGCAGAGGCCCTTCAGGACCCTGGTCCAGCACTACAGGTGGGGTCTACTCTGACTGCTCAGTGCCCATGGTTAAATATTTTGAATTTCATCCTCCGTTCCTGGCAATTTGAAATTAGGATTAAAAAATGCCAACTCGACTCTCTTGATTGCTTAAAACAAGGACTTGCAAATTTGAATATGACTTGCAAATTTGAATATGACTTGTAAATTTCAGCCATATTCAGGAAAAGGAAAGAAACTTAATTTGGAGAGAGCAACAGGGGAAGAAAAAAGAAAAAAGGAACAGATTTGCAAAGAGAAGCAGAAAAAAGGGCTCACGTGGCCCAAAGATTGATTTCACTGGAGCCCAGAAGTGATTTTCCATACACGGATTCAGGCATTTGTGAGGCGCTCTTCCACTTCCTGCCCTGTGGCCTAAACTAAACCACTGACCCATTGCCTTGGAGTCAATTCCAACTCCTAGTAACCCTATAAGCAGAGTAGAACTGCCCCATAAGGTTTCCAAGGCCGTAATCTTTACAGAAGCAGACTGCCTCCTTCTTTCTCCCATGGAGTGGCTGGTGAGTCCAAACCAACCTTTCAGTTAGCAGCCCAGTGCTTAGCCACTGTGCCACCAGGGTTCCTGTGATCTAAGCTTAAAAAAAACAAAACAAAACAAAAAAGAATCCAAACTCACTGCCATCCAGTTGATTCTGACTCATAGCAAACCCCACTGGGTTTCCCAGGCTGTAAATCTTTATGGAAGCAGATCACCCCATCTTCTTTACATGGAGCAGCTGGTGAGTTTGAACCACTGACCTAGTGGTCTAAGCTACACCTCTGTAAACCTAATGAATTATCCTCATCAGCTTAAACTAGCTCTGGCCAGTCTGTTACTCTCCATCAAGAGTTTGGGCTAAGACACCAAGTGCTTTCACTCTGACAACTGCACCTGACGCCCCTAGCAGCCAGGTGAGGCTTGTTAGCTTCACTACAGATAGAGAAACTGAGGGACAGAGGCAGTAAGTGCCCTGCCCAGTCCTTGCCTGTGAAGCGGTGTGCTGGAGTCCAGTTGTACTGGCTCACAAGAGTTGAACATTCAGGATTTTTTTTTTTTTTTGAGCCCGTTAAGTTGTTCAGCTGTTGGTAGCTTGAGATCAGCCACGGTGTGAATATTTATACCCTGAAAATCAGCAACGCTACAAATCAGGGCATTTTTTGTTTTGTTCTGTGCTACAGCCAGTTTACCAATCCACCGTGGGGCCTAGGGTTCCAGCCAGTATGATCTCACTGTGCTGTGCTTGTGGCCCCATCCCTGGAGGACTGGCAGGGGTGTTCCATGGCCAAGCCCCTCATGCTCACCATAGTGGTTAATACTGTTGATGAGACGCACTCCCACTTGAGCGTGGTTGTTGGTCACGAGGACAATGTCGAAAAGGTCCTCACTATCAGGATACAGCTCCCGCAGCCTTCTGTTCACAGCCTCCAGAGCCTGGATGGGAGAGGACAAGGGCGGCTCAGACTCCTGGTTTGTGGAGGAGGGGTGAGCTGGGATCCAATGGGAGGGATGGGCACTGGAGGCGTAGTCAGTGGTGGAGGTTTTGGATGAGATCAGTGGGCATGGACTACCTCCCCATTAGGCAGTTTTCTACCCCTGCGCAGGTGTTTACCACATGGGAGCACAAAGAAGGGTGAGTGGGGTTCAAAATCCAGCCCACGTTCCACTCACCAAACTGGTCACCTGACATGCCTGTTGTTAGCTGCCGTAGACTCAACCCCAAGTCATGATGACAGCATGCACAATGGGGCAGGACCATTGTGATCCATAGAGGATCGTCTCATAGCCAAGCTGTGGCGTTGCCTGTGCCCAGAAGGAATGCCTTGTCCTTCCTCACATATCCACGGAAAGGCAACAACTCAACGCACTGCCGTGGAGTCCTATCCATGACTCATAGCGACCCTTCCTTGGGTTTCCAGGCAGTATCTCTACAGAAGTAGATTGCCCAACTTTCCTTCTGAGCAGTGGCTGGTGGGTTGGAACCGCCAGCCTTCTGGTTAGCAGTCAAATGCCTTAGACACTACACCACCAGAGCTCTCCACATATCCACAGAAGCACCTTTTTTCTAGGCACTGTAGGGACTAGTGGTGGAACTGCTCCCTCACCTTCACGAAGGGGAAGGCGGGCCCAGGGCTGAAGGGCTCATTCTCATGTTCCAGCTGGTAGCGCACGTACTCCTCCACACCCTGCTCTGTGTAGATCCGCTGCTCCTCATCCATGCGGAACAAGGCTCGGGAAGACACAGCAATGGTGACTGCATTCTGAGGTTTGGGCTGCAAAGACGAGGGAGGAAGAGCCGTTGTTCAGACCTCCCCTAAAGTAGGTGTGCATATGCAGGCTCCTCCAGGTACTGGAGACAAGGAGAAGACTAAGTCCAGCCCTTGCCCTAAAAAGGTTCAGCCTTGGATAGGACAGACCTAGGTCAGGACCTCCTCTGTGCAGAACCTAGGGTCTATGGGAGATGATGGCTCCACACCTAGGAATACAATCTAATGGGAATGAATACACTGTATACAGCCAAAGAATGACTGATGCTCATGTTCAAGATGATCTCTAGATGGTTTCCAATTTAAAATGAGAGTTACATGCCCTTAGGAAGAAATGGTACCTAGAAACTTGGCCAAACAACAGTCCAGCTTCACTAGTAAAAAAATGTCTGCTTTGAGCATTGTGCTCTTTTAAGAACTATCTACATGGGATCAAACTGAGAGCAGCAACTGGAAAGATTAGATAGTAACCTTAGGGGGCAATGAGTTTATGTAATGGAAGAGGAACAAAAGGAGAATGGTTGCACATCTCGAAGAATGTAATCAATGCCACTGAATTGTACATGTAGAAACTATTGCATCGGTGTGTGTTTTGCTGTGTATATTCTCAACAATAACAACAAAATAAATAAATAAATTTTAAAAAAGAGTGTCTTGAAATTGCAAGGCCTGTAGTTTAAAACAACAAAGCAAATAAACAAAACTCTTGCTATCTGTAACCACTTATGTGAATTAGGACTTTTTCAATACCATGCCACCAATAACAAACACAAACAAATTGGCTGGATGCTGAAACGTAAGTCTGCAACTGGCACCCTCAGCCCACTTTCAAATTTATTGTAATCCAAACAACTGCGTTGCGCTCACTGATTGATTTTGAAATGAACAGTCAGTCGTATATATGTAATACATTTAAATTTGTAAACTAAATTTATACCAACGAATAGGGTAATACCTGATTCATATGTTGGGGTTCCACCCAATTTGAAAAAAAAGTCATGCTCCTTGGTGGAGGGAGGGAACCATTATGGACCTATTGCAGGCCTTTCAGCAGGGGATTCACTTGGTCCCATTTTCATTTGAGAAAGATCACCCTGAGGTGGTGTGGAGGATGGATCAGAGGGGTGAAGCTGGCAGAAGGCAGACTAGTGAGAAAGCTATCCCTGCCTGAGGAGGAAGCTAGACGAATGGGTGGCCTGGGGGATGGAGAAGAGGGGAGAGGCATTAATTAGGACTGGTGAGGTGAGCAGAGCACCAACACTCAAAATTCATTCCCTATGCCCTCCTAAACACTGAGGCACCTGGGAGCCCAGACCTAATGCTCAGTCATGACCCCTCAGGCAGCCCCTGACCTTCCTGGGTTCTCTCTGAGGCAGAGGCTGAGGCTTCCTGGCCCCTCTACTCCTTCCTACAATAGCCTTTCCTCCCACAGGCTATTTTGGGGGCTTCAGGCCTCCTGGGCCCCATCAGGACCTGGCCTGGATTTATGCTCATTCCCAGAGGCCCTGAGTAAAACATTTAACCCCTGAAGGCCATAGAAGGGCCTCATCTCAAGGAGTCAGAGGATTTTCTCAGTCTAGAGTTAGTCCCTCTCTTTTCCTGCTAAATGCTTCTAGAAATAATAGCTTTTGACTCTATTTCTATCTTGGGCACAACAGGCAGACTCATGTTGGCCTAACCTGGAGCTCCCCAGGCAGGCTGGGTATGGCTGAGCCTCATCCCCTACCCACATTTCCCAAGCGAAAGCAATCAGCATATAGCCTAGCTTTGGTGAGAGGCAGAGAGAACTGTTAGGGCCCTATCTCCCTGGAGTCCAGTGCTTCCAGGCTGAGCCCTAGTTTGGAATGAGGGATGTTCTAACTCAATCCCCAATTTGGGATCTGAGCCTCTTTCTGATTTCTGGAGGACCTGTCCCTGGATGAACCTGACAACACATGACTGGTGGCTTCCCTAAGTGTTAAGGGCCCTGGCTTCTCTGCTCTGGCCAGCTCCACATTCTCTTGCAACCTCTCCACCTCAGAAAGATCATCTGTTGGGCCTCACTTTGGAGCTGGGTGAGGCAATTACTGTTGAACTTGGCCCCTGCTTAAACCCTGTTGGAAGTCTCCTAAGCAAACTGCCTCTTCACCCTAGCTCTGGCCTCTTTCTCCCCAACCCCTTTCATCTGTTCCTTCAGAGTCTGATCAGGCCACTCATATGTCCCTGTGAGGGTCCATCTTTCCTGTAGTTGCTCTTGTGCCCTAGGCCTTAGGCTCTGTCTCACTGGTACTATGTGGGAGCAGTCTGAGTCAGGAGGAGATTACTGTCCTTGGGGACTACAGTCTGAGGAGAAAGAAGGCCCTACTCTGGCCATCCAGATGCAATGATGGGTCTCTCTTCATCCAGGGAAAAGAAGAATAAAGACACATGGAAACAATTAGTCCAAGTGACTGGTACACCATGCAATCCTCAGCCTATAAGACTATGAGACCAGAAAAACTAGATGGTGCCTGGCTACCACTGTCAACCACTCGGAGGGGGATCTATGTAGGAGATCCTGGATAGAGAGGGAGAACAATGTGGAACAAAATTCAAAATCATTAAAAATAAAAGTGGGAAGTGGGGGGAGGCCCAAGTGTGCTGGTCTGATAGAGCCTGATGGAAACACTGAGACCATGGTCCCTACCTGGCCTTCAGGTCTGGAATTGAACCCACACCTGTGGCTTCCAGCCAAACAAAAGGCATGCATATGAGCTGAACATTTACTCCTTGGAGAGAATAATCATGGGAGAATAGAAAGGCTGTGTATGCACAGGGAGACAGCTCAGGGGGCAGGAGTGTATAGAGGGAAAAACACAGGGAAGAGGTAACTATCGGGAGGAAGTAGGAGGGGAGCTGTTACATTGTGGGAAATTGCAGTCAATGTCATGAGACAAAGTGTATGTGAGCTGCTGTATGGAAAGTGAATTTGCTCTGTAAACTTTCACCTAAATCACACACACACACACACACACACACACAAGATCAGGAAGGAAGAGGGCCCTACCCTTAGAAGCCTCAGTCTGGGCAAACGGTGCCCAGGGTCTCCCTGTGAAGGATTTTGCCTAGTGGTTCTCAGTTTCTTCTATGGAAGGATAGAATAAGGGAGAAGAGAAATCATGTCTGGTTTCTTCCAGATCTGGAAGGGTCATACGGAAACTATGGCTGTGTCCTGGCTGTGTCATTTATTGGCTGTTACTTTGGGCAAGTCATTTGACCTTCCTAAACCTCATTTCTCCATCTGTAAAATAGGAGGGACTAACAATACCCCGCTTCATTAAGTTATTGTGAGATTTATACGGGTAAGTGTTCACCTACTAGCCAAAAAGTTAACAGTTCAAACCTACACAGAGGTAGCCCTGGTGACTTGCTTCCCAAAAGTCACAGCCTTGAAAACCATATAGAGTAGTTCTACCCTGCACACATGAGGTCACCATGAGCTGGGATTGATACAACAGCAACTAACAATAATAACAACAATCCACTTAACATTCTCAGTACAGTGTATGGTACACAGTAAGTGCTCAGTAGAAAAGCCAAGGGTGGTATTCAAAATACTTAACAACTGGCACAGTATGGCACAAACCAATCATAACTGACCAGCAGGTCTTAGAACTGGAACAGGGTCCTAGAGGTGTTCTGTGTGTGGGACATCATGGGAAGGACTTGGGGGAGGGGTTGTGTCAGGAAAGGAGCTGAGATTGCAGAGGTTAGGGTCCTGTGGGGTTGTGTGGATAGAGCCTAATCTTGAAGCCAGACACTTAGGATCTCATTCTGTTTCTGTTGACTTTGCTGTGTGACTTAGGGTAATACAGTCCCCTTCTCTGGACCTATTTCCCCAGAGACTGTTGAGGCCAACACAGCCAGAACAATTTTCTTGTAATGGCCACAAGTGAGATGGGATGGTATCTGGTTAATTAATTAGCTTAGTCAGAGGGTCCCACGATTCAGCAGTCTGGCCAGGACTGTGGGACAGAAAGTTAGGAGTGAGACCTTGGCTGGTTGCCTGGGCTGGAGTGTTCGGGTTGGGAACCTGCCTGAGGGGGCTGGCTCTCTGTCCTTAAAGAGGTGATTGGTCTGTCACTGGGGCAGTGAGCTCAGGGGATAAGGCAAGCTCAGCCCCTGTCCTGAAAGCCTACATGGCTTCCTGGGTTTATGAGAGTGAGTCTGTTCCCCCGACCCTTACCATCCCTGGCCATCCCTCTACCACCTCTTTTCTTAGGGATTTTTAACTTTACCATCTTTTCTTGAGAGCTCTCAGTTGCCAAAGGGGTTAGGAGATGTCTTGTCCAAGGACAGACAGATACACAGCGGTGGTCAGCAACTGTGAGAGGCATTTGGGCTGCACCTTGAAGGAGAGACACTTGTCCACTTTTGCTGCCTTACATTGACCCTGCTGGTCACAACACATCTTGGTTGGGGTTAAAACTCAAATGCAAGATGAGGGGTACCACACGAGCTTGGAGAACTCATTGGTCTTTTATTCCTATTTGGAGTTTTAGGGCACTGCACTAGAGTTTCTATTTCATGTTCAATATGGTAGCAGACATTTTTTTACTAGTTAAGCTGAACTATTGTTTGGCTTAAGATCTCAGGACAACAGCCTGAGGTTCATCCAGCCTCCACAGTTCCAGAAAGTCTGGAGTCCATGAGAATCTAAAATTCTATTCTGCATTTTCCCCCTTTGGATCAGAACTTTTCTATAATATTTTTGACAAGATACTCTTCTATTAAACAGATCACAGGAAAGCTTTATTCTGAGGTTTGAGCTATATATGTGTGTGTGTATATATATATATACACACACACATATATATAAAACTAAAGACAAATTCACTGTTATTGAGTCGGATTTTACTCATAGTGGCCACTCTTTGGGTTTCTGAGGCAGTATCATTATGGAGGTAGATTGCCCAGCCTTCCTTCCAAGGAGTGGCTGGTGGGTTTGAACTACCAGCCTTCTGATTAGTGGTCAAATGCCTTAGGCTCTATACCACCAGAGCTCCATATATACATGTTGTTGTTGTTAGTGCCGTCGAGTCAGACCTGACTCATAGTGACCCCGCCTTGGGTTTCCAAGGCAGTATCTCTACAGAAGTAGATTGCCCCATTTTCCATCTGAGGAGTGGCTGGTGGGTTTGAACCGCCAGCCTTCTAGTTAGCAGTCAAACACCATAGGCACTATGCTACCAAAGCTCCTATATATGTATGTATGTATAACCAAAACCAAACCAAATTCATTGCCATCAAGTTGATTCTAACTCTTAGTGACTCCCTTTTGGGTTTCCGAGGTGGTAAATCTTTATGGAAGTAGATTGCCCAGTCTTCCTTCTGCACAGTGTCTGGTGGGTTTAAACCACCAATTTTCTGGTTAGCAGTCAAATGCCTTAGGCACTGCACCACCAGAGCGCTCTCTGTCTCTCTCTCTCTATCTATATCTATCAACCTGCAGCACAAGTTAACATATTGATAGTATCCAAGGGGCCCAGCACTCAGTTTTTCATACTGTGGTGGCTTGCCTGTTACTGTGATGCTGGAAGCTATATCATTGGTATTTCAAATGCCAGCAGAGTCATGCATGATGGACAGATTCCAGCATAGCTTCCAGACTAGGAAGAAAGGCCTACTTCCAAAAATTAGCCAGTGAAAACCCTGCAGATCACAATAGAACATAATCCAGCATAGTGTTGGAAGATGAGCCCCTGGATTGGAAGGCCCTCAAAATACACAGTGGCTGCAGCAATGGACCCCAGCACAGCGGTGGTCACGAAGATGGTGCAGAATGGGCATTTTGTCATGTCATACATGGGTCCTCATGAATCAGGGTCCACTTGACCAGCAACTAACAACTCCAAGGTGCTCAAGTGTCCACATGACACATTTAAGTATTTGTTTTATAAAATTTTAATTGTTTAAAACCTAGTTTGAAGAGGAAAGACAATAAATTGGATTCACATGTGTGTAGACTCCCTGAAGATAGGGTTCTACCAAACCTAGTTTGGAGATCCCTAACCGCACTGAATAAGGTCTAGACTCCTTGACATGGCATTCAAGGCTCTCCACCAGCTCGTTGGTATCCCTCCAACTCTTCTCCCAATGATCTTGCATTCTCCCACTCCAGCCTAATTCCAGAAGACAGCCCTCACTTTCCCAGGCATCTCTCTGCCTTTTTTACTCATGCTGTTTTCCCAGACAGGTGTCTCACATATGGCAAGAATGGCACCTGCCCTGGGCACCACTTCAAGAGGGGAGCCACTGAGCAGTTTCTATTGACCATTTCCATTGCTAGCTGTGAGATCATCCAGCAAGTTAATACACTTTCCTATTTGAGAGTGGCCATGGGTCAAGGCAGACTGTGTGATCTTGTTCTGTTGAATGCAGAAAGAAACTGAAAAGAATGACTTTGACACATCATAGATCTATTTTCATTAGTGAAAGGGAGAAAGGTGCAGTTGTAATGTTCATGTAGTGTCATAATGTGTTAAGTAAAAGAATAATGAACTTGCATTTTTTTGAGCTGATCTTGTGGTAAGGTTGTTTGAAAGATGTTTGGACAGGGGCACAATTTCGGTACTTGCCATAGGCACTATTTTCTGCAGATTTGCCTCTGTTTCCTTCCTTCTGCCTGGGAAATGCCTCCTACTCAAGCTTTAAGACCGCACAAAGGCCTCCTCTACAAAGCCTTCCCTAGTCCACAGACAGTCCCTCCTCTAGGCTGCCACCCAAGCTCTGCTGGCTTAGTGGATAAGACACTTGGCTGCTAACCAGAAGGTCAGCGGTTCAAACCCACCAGCCACTCCGTGTAAGGAAGATGGGGCAACTTACTTCTGTAAAGATTTATGGCCTCGGAAACCCAGTGGGGGTCACTATGAGTTGAAATCTACTAGATGGCAGTGAGTTTGGTTTTTTACTTTGAGGCTGCCACTGCACTCTGTAGGGTCTTTTACCTGTTCACTCACCACCTCAATGGGCTCCATCAATGCACTGTGAGCTCCCCTTGCTGGGACTCAGCCTAATTCATCTGTCAGGGTCCCTTGCTGGGCCAGGGCCCTGGGGGTGCAGAGGGAGTGAATGTTGATAAGGTGGGGGCTGCCGGGGGAGAGCTCTTTGGAGGGAAGCAGCAGGACGCTTTAAGGTCAGGCTCTTTGGAGGACGCCTCGGGTGCAGCCTGTATCCTCTGTCTCTCCCCAGGCTCGGAGCTCCTGAAGCTGAAGTGAGCAGGGCCCACCAGCGCACCAGAGCGTCGTGAATCTGTCGGATGGGGAAAGGAGCTCACTCCTCTGAATGAGTCCTTAGAGGGCTGAGACTCGTACACGGGGTCACAGGGGTACTGATGCCGATTGTGAGGGGAGGAAAGCCCGGAGCCCGCGCGCAGAGTACAGCGTTGGGAGCCCGGAATCAGAAGCGCGAAGCCCTGGGCTCAAAATGCGGAGTCCGCTGCCTGGAACCCGCAGCTCATCCCTTTTCTGCGCCGGGAGCGCCAAGCCGAAGCACCGAGCGCACGGCCCTGAGCCAGAGCAGGATCGCAGAGGTTTGGGTCCGGAGCGCGGAGCCCAGATGGCGGAGACCGAAATACACCGCAAGGAGCCGCGTTTCCAGAGTCAGGTTACCAGAGCCTGGGGCGTTTAGGCTAGCGCCGCTGACTACCTTTGCCAAAAAGTGCTGTCGCGTGCCCCAGGCTGGGGCTCATGGGGGAGGGCGATCCTGGCGTGGAACCGGAGCCGGGGGAAAGAACACCAGAGCAGAGCTCCAAAAATAAATCAGAATCCGAGCCAAAGCTAGGCCATTCTGCTGCTGAGGGCTGCGTCCGTCTTCCCGAGGGGCGCCACAAATCCCTCCCCAAGGGGCCTTAGGATCCCTTCCCGGAGGTGTCCTTCCTCCCTCTCCCCACAGCCTGCCCTGCTTTTACCGATTTGGGTTTCTTCTTGGGCGCGAGGTTGTCGTAGATAGTCTTGGCTTCCTCCCAGCTCCTGGCCGCGGCAGTCTCTGCTCCCGGCCCGGGCTCTCGGGGCTCCCGGGGCTCCCGGGGCTCCCCCGTCTCCATGCTCCGGCCCCGAGCCGGCCCAGCAGGAGCAGGCGGCCGCGGAGACCGGGAGCTGGGCTGGAGGAGGTAGGCACGTCCCGGGCGTGAGAAGGGGGCGGGCAGCGGCGGGGAGTGTGTGAGCATGAGCCGGCCAGGAGGGCGGTGTGCGGGTCGCCCCGCCCGCCAGCGTTGGGGGAGGCCGTGGGGTGATAAGCTGTCTCTTGGTTGCCTGTATTGTTGTTGTTGTTGGGTGCTTCTTGGGAGACAGCTGAGCTCTTCCTCGACTGCTCCTCTCGCGAAGTGAATGGGAGTCCCCGCCTTCTTAGTGCTGTGGTAGAGGGGGCTGCTGCAGATCGGAGATGTTCTTCTTAGGCATTCAAGGGCAGGCGGAGAGCTGAGGGCTTGACAACTTTCCCCTAGGCTAGTGATTCGCAAAGGGGCAAAATGAAAGTCTAGCCGACCCCCTGTCTCTTTTGATGAGTGGACCCCGGGGCCCTGAGCGATGCCTTCTTCCCTCTGATCCCAGCTCAGCCTGTGCGCCGATGGGGAAGACGTGGTGGATGGACAGCTCCATTCACAAGCAGGATTCTGCTCCCAGCCGTAGTATAACGGAAGGCCTAGGAGGGCAGCTCTTTACGCCAAGACGGAAAGACCCCTGAAGTCGGTGGCGAGACTAGGTTTCCCTCAGCCTAAGACTCCTAGGGACTGTGAGCCCGATTCTTGGTTCCACTTCCTGGATGGCCAACAGGGGGAGCGCATTTCCAGGTCCCACCTCTAGCTTGGGATGGTTGTGAACGCTAAGAAGGGACTGCCCAGAGGGAGAGTAGAAGAGGGACGTTGGAACCAGTCTTGAACTACCATCCTAGAGTTGTGTGACTTGTGCAACTCCTGGAATGCAGACAGAAATTCCACCCAACTCAAGGGCATAAGCCAGGAAGCAGACAAGTTTCATCATTGTTCAGTGGAGATCAGTCCATGTGGGTGGGAGCAGCAGGAAGAAATCCTGGCTTAACCCCAGGGCATCTGATTGGGAAGGAGGTACAAAATGCAGGGACCTGCTCACCTGCTCAGCCTCCACCAAGGCCTGGAAGGGACCAGCCAAACCTTCTGTGAGAGAAAGAGGAAATATATATATATATATATTTTAACCATTTGAAGTTGAACCCACACCTGTAGCTTCCAGCCAAACAAAAGACAGGCATATGAGTTGAACATTTACCTGACGTAGATACACTCCTTGGAGAGAACAATTATGGGAGAAAGAGGGGCTTCTTATGCACAGGGAGACAGCTGGGGGTGGGCAGGAGTGCATGGAGGGATGGACACAGGGAAGAGGTAACTATCAGGAGGAAGTGGGAGGGGAGCTGTTGCATTGTGGTAAATTGTGGTCAATATCGTGAGACAAAGTGTATGTGAACATTTAAGCATTTTCTAAATACGGAGAAGGTAGACAGGAGTTCTGGGTGGTGGGGAGAGTGGGGGGCAGCAGTGACAGCAGCAGCTTCTAAACATGGAAGCCCCCATTGCACTAAACCTATCACAACAAGGTCCCCCATCTACCATCAGTCATATGAACAGATTCTGGATTTCTCTCTTTCAAAGGCCACGGTAAGGAAAGCAGCTACGGTGTACTTACTTTCCTTGTCAGTGTTCTTACTTTCCTTGTCTGAAGGCATCTGGAGACTCAAGAACAAGAGATGTCTACCCAAACAAACCCTTCGAGAAGGTTACTGGGCTGCAGCTACTTTCATTGGATAGACCCCTTCAGAGGCTTGAGGTACCTGAGAGAAAATTAATAGTGGCATTTTGTCTTATACTTTATGTCCTGCCCACTGTCCCTACTTCCTGACTCCCAGGATGTTCAGAGGTACAGTCTGGGGTCCGGAGCAGTGGGACTCTCAGTTCTGGAGTGGGCGGGAGGAGGGAAAGCTGGGCTCAAGCTCTGCTCACGGTGTTGGCTCCTTTCCCTCTGCCATCTCCCAGCAGCATCCCTAATGGCGTGTTTCTCCATTCTCCATCATTTCTTTTTCTGTCTTGATTACCTGATGGAGAAGTAGCTGACCTTGAAGTGACCAAAGCAAAGCAAACCTGCTGCCATCGAGTGGATTCCAACTCATAATACCCCATAAAGACAAAGTAGAACTGCCCCACGGGGTTTCCAAGGCTGTAAATTGTAATGGAAGCAGATTGCCTCATCTTTCCTCTGTGGAGCCGCTGGTGGGTTCAAACTGCTGACCGTTTGGTTAGCAGCCAAGGGCTTAACCACCTATGTCACCAGGGCCCAGTCCTTGAAATGAAGGGGAGGGGAGCAGAAGTCCCCTTTTGGTGGATGAGGGAGTTCCTGGGAGAAGACAGGTGCAGGAGCTTGTTTCTTATGCTTTCTACCCATCTGTCTCCATGTGTGTGGAGTCAGGTCTTACACAAGGAGACTGAGTTGAAGAGCAAGATGTAGGAATTTTTTAAGACTCTGGACTTTGAGATGGGATTTATTGCCCTTTTCTAGCCTAGCTCCCTGTTGTCCTTCCACAAGAAGGAAAATTATTTCTGATGCCCTGGATTCCCTAGGAAAGGGACCTAAACAAGTCAGGGCAAGGCAGTTCACTCTGGACAGTTACGGGGAGCTTAGTCCTTTCCCACCTCTGCACAGCACGCACACACATACACACACACAAAACCAGCCCTGACCTCCATTCTGCTGCGTGTGTGCACACATGTGGCGTGAGCACACACAGCCACAAGCCTTTCCAGGCTAGCTCTTGCTGGATGCAAAGGTGCCAAAGGCCAAAGCCTGAGGAGAACTCAGGGACCCCAGTTCTGTCCCTCCCAAGTAACTGCAGGTATGTCAAAAGACACTGCATGTAAAGATTTGTTGTTGTTGTTATATGCCACTGAGTCAGACCTGACTCATAGTGACCTCTCCTTGGGTTTCTGAGGCAGTATCACTACAGAAGTAGATTGCCCCATCTTCCTTCCAAGGAGTGGATGGTGGGTTTGAACCACCAGCCTTCTGGTTAGCAGTCAAGTGCCTTAGCCACTATGCTACCAGAGCTCCTGTAAAGGGTAGGAGTGGGGAATTTACCAAGGTCCTATTGTGCAGGCGGCAGGGATGACACTATGTATCGGGGTTTCTCAACGTTGGCACAAATGACACTGTGGGCTAGGTAATTCTTTGTTGTGGGCACCTGTCTTCTGTACTGTAGGATTTTGAATCTGTTCACTAGATGCCAGTAGTATCCCCCAGACATAACAATTGAAAATGTCTGCAGATATTGCCAAATTTCCCCTGGGACAACATCACCTCTGGCTGAGAACCAATAGTCTCTAGGTGAAGAGCTGACCCCCCACAGTGGGGAGGGACCCTAAGTAGATTCTGCATGGTCACAGCTGCACAGCTTCTGGGCACAGCGATGTATAATGGGGAAGAGAGTGGTCAGGAGACCCAGGGCAGAAAGAAGATCCTCTAGGAGGCAGGAAAGCAGGTATTCCTGAAGAACTGCAGCTGCAAAAGCCACTTCCTCAGGTGTGCTGGTCCCAGCAGCAAGAAGAGTCAGTCAGAAGTCACTAAGTCCACTCTTCTGAAACTTTCCAGGAAAGACCTAGTCTTCATCCAAATTTGGCTCAAGGGTGGCTGGCTTCCAGAGGCTGTAGGATTGTCTCTTTCATAAGTCTAGGTCACATCTCTGCTTCCTGAGGCCAAAGTCTAGTCTTTTCTCCCAGGAGGTGGCAGGGCAGGAGGAGGAAAAACCACTTCCATTGCCTGTTTAGTGTTCCACTTCATTCCTTGCTCAGTCTCCCAAAATATTCCATACGAAATTTAATTCAAAAAAGAAATCCACAAAATTAAAAACTGTAAAAAAGCAAAGTAGACAGGCTCTAACAAAGTAGACACTGTTATTTGTGAATTGGAAAGAATAGATCCCATGGTCTGAGGGAGTATCCACTGTCACTTGAGTCTGTTGGCTGCTGCTCTCCTTAACACTGGAAGAAGGCACAGGGGTGTACTGGGAGATGTAAGCTCCATCATGGAGGCAGGCTGGAGAGAAAGGGTGTGATCCATCCCTGATGTCAGAACGGAACCTGAAGGCTGCATGAGGTATGACTGGTGGTGCATCCAAGCTGCCTTAGGTACTTGTAGAGGAGATGTCTGAGTCACTATCTGATATGAAGACACAGGACATGGAAGGTATGGGGATAGTGCAGACTGAGCAACCAGCATGTTGAGAGTAATCTTATAAGGGGCTGGGTAAAACCCATTCTGAAGAGCTGTGGTGGGGTCATAGGTCAAGGCCATGCCACCTGTGTCTCCATTCCTTGGCCATGTCCATGCATTTTGCACAAATTTTCCTTGGTTCTGTCGTTTCTTTGGTTCACCATCTGCAAATTTGCAAAGCAAGAGATCAGATGAGGCTAGTACTCCAGGGGGTGTCTTTATATATTTTTCATTAAAGTGGGTGATGATGACTTCACACTTCTCTGTGGACTCCATCCTTGCAAAGCCAACCCCTCTGCTGGTCCCACTGGTGTCTTGAAGGATTCGGGTGGAGATAGCCTGGACAAACGGCTTCAGCATTCCTACCAGTTCTTACTCATTCATTGACAGTGGGAGGTTTGAGATGTATAAATTTGTGGGATCCTGCTCCTATTGCTTTGCCATCTGTGCCTACACACCACAGCTTTCGGCACTGTTACAGCTTTCTGTGCTGCTGAAGGACTGTCAAGGTCCACAAAGCCATAGTGTTTGCATTTGTTTGTGGTCTTGTCCAGTATGGCCTTCGTGGAGACCATCTTGCCATATGGCTGATACAGCTTAGTGAGGCCCTGGTCAGTAGGGCCTGGTTGCAATCCCCAGATGTACAGGTTGGTTTTGCTCAGCTGGTCATTTCCATTGCTTCACCTGCTGCTGCTAGTTACTGTTGCTTAGACTCGGTGGTGCCATCTGCTGACCCAATGACACATATGGCTTCTTGTTGTCCTTATTATAGCCAAAAGTAGGAATTCCAGGCCTGGAAGTCACGGATAGC